TATGGTTTTTTTTTGGGGGGGGGGTGTCACCACAATATGAGGAACTGTATTATAGGGTCGCGGCATTAGGAAGGTTGAGAACCACTGGTTTAGATTTACTCACAAATTATTTCTATCCTGTTTTGATAGCCTATAACTGTTCAAGGTGCTAAAGATTTATTTTCTAATTTTCCTCTCTGTTTAGCGATATTGGAATTGGCCAGTCTCAAGATGACAGCATAGTAGGATTAAGGCAGACCAAGCACATCCCCACTGCACTACCTGTCAGCGGAACCTTGTCATCCAGTAATCCTGATTTATTGCAGTCCCACCATCGCATCTTAGACTTTAGCACTACTCCCGGTGAGCTCCCCGAGTGCTTCGGATTGTTTGTTTTGTTTTCTTGTAGTAACCTTTTCCTTCTCATAGAATGGTAATGCTATATGTGCCCCTCTTGGTTTAGCATAGATTATATTAGATGTTCAGTCAAGGCAGACCTTAAATTTCCAACAATTGAAACCAGTTGCTTTTGTGTTATCTAAGATATTTTGATGTAGGCAATTAACCTCTCTAAGCTTATTTTTGCTTCATATTTATTTTCTTTCATAAAATGAAGACAACATATACCAGGCAGGGTATTAATAAGTTATGTGAATTAAAAAGGGCAGGAGGATAGGTCAACTTATTGGGCTTTTTAATGTCTATAATAAAGATTAAATTTAGATTTATTTTTTTTGCCTCTGATACTAACATGACAACGTTGTGTGCCACTGTGGTCTATTAATGTGTCTGCATTTAGCTCGTATTGTGTTTCTAGAGGAGAGATGTGTTCTTGCAGAACATCCGCAGGTTGACCTAAGCTTTGCAGCAGAGCGAGCATAAGGCAGAAGAGAAAGCGTAGCATCGTCTTTTCTGAGCTCCTCTTCAGGTTACACTGCTGAATTGCCTTACTACAATAGAGAACTATTTTCTACTTATCTATGGCTTTTCTTTGTTTCAGATTTGCCAGATCAAGTGCTAAGGGTTTTCAAAGCCGATCAGCAAAGCCGATACATCATGATCAGTAAGGACACCACTGCAAAGGAAGTCGTCCTTCAGGCTATCCGGGAGTTTGCTGTGACTGCTACCCCAGATCAATATTCACTCTGTGAGGTATCTGTCACTCCTGAGGGAGTAATCAAACAAAGAAGACTTCCAGATCAGCTTTCCAAACTTGCTGATAGAATACAACTGAGTGGAAGGTACAATATGTGTC